AGCATCGTCAGCCTTCTTCAGCTTCGTCTCAGCTTGATCGGCAGCACGCTGGTAGTACTGGTACATATGTACCACCTCCACGGCAGAGTTGACGGTCTAGAGATAATGTTAAATTGGCCGTTAGTCACATAAATAGTACATATGTAAATAAACGTAATAAAATAACAAGGATTCTTTGTTGTCTTACCCGGAGCATGTTGTTCATTAGCTGGCCGCAAGGGGCAGCAACGCGGTTGACAGGCCTGTCGGCTGGCGTCGCCAAATCCTTTAGCACCCTCCAGCCCATGCTCCCGCCAGTGCTAGGATCGTCGTAGAGAAAAGACTCACCATGATTACATTGATCTGGAGATGCCATGGATCACCGGCAGCACCAAAGGATACAACCAACTCGTCAGCAACTTCTTTCGGAATTCTGACATGCGGAATCTCGAGGAAGTCACCGACAAGAGTCGGGAAGAAAGCATTTTTCCTGGGGCCGCCAGAGCGTGTCGAGATGACTGTTTGACTCTCCTTGTTCGGAGGCTTGTTGATGTTGGCCACCTGGTCGGTTCTGGACTTGCTGTCGGCCCCAGGACCAGTTGGATCCCGTAAGATGACTGTTAGCTTTTTCGGAGGATGGGGATCGGTCTCGTCCTCCAGATTAACGACCCCTTCCGGCCATGTCTCTTGTGCCTCCTGATGGAGAGGTGTCGAATCGCCATCTCGTTTTTTCTGCTTCTTTTGTTGCTCTCGGTCGGAGGATTCAGACATCCTCTTTGACGCATTGCCGCCACCCCTTTCCACTGCTAAAGTACGGGGTTTGACAACACGTTCGGTAGGAGCCATGTCTTGCTGTCTCGTTCTTTTTCTTTTTGAGGCTCTAGTGGCGAAAATGGGAAGGGTGTCGTATGACGTTTTTGCCGATCTGGGCACTGTTGCTTCACTCTCCCGTCAGGATACAACCCTAGTCGGCTGTAGTCGAGTTTGTCAATACCTGGTGGTAAAATCACTGATAATAAACATCAATACACCGACATTATAAAGGTAAACATATACATTTAAAAAAAAAAAAAAAAAAAAAAAAAAAAAAAAAAAAAAAAAACAGAGGCATAAGTAAAATGTACGTAGCCAGGTAAGAGAATAAGCAGGAAAAACACTTATCAAAATTAATTTCAAATGCAAAGCATAAGTACAGTAAAGATAAATATAAGTAAATGTATATAATTTATAAACATTTCCATACCAAATGCATCGGTATGGCAGAGACCGACATGAGATAAAGGGGCGTTGCCTAGTATATAATTACAATGGGGCAACCACACCCCCGGAACAACTTTATTCTTCTTACCAACACTAACATATGTACAGTTAAACCACCTAAGAGATTTTTTCTCCAACTTTCCTAACGCTCTCGACCGTATGGTCTCGAACATAATGTGAGGGTGGTAAAATGTCCTACGGACGATAAAATCATCAGGAACACTCATAAAATAAAATTCTTTCTTCCAGTTCTTGCAACTGGTCAATTTTGGCCACACAGTGCATTTCTCGGGAGTAGTATAAAGAGACCACCATCCGGGTGACTGGCTATCTCTCGTTATCCAGTGCAACCTCCGAAAGAAGTTCAAGGTAAGGGGAAAGTCCATAAATATCATAACCCATACAAGAGAGACTATATTTCGGATGGTTGGAGGCGTTAACTGTGCAATTGATACATTCCAAGCCCTGAATATTTTTTCAATATAGTGATGGAGTGGAAACCGTAAACCAAATTCGAAGTGTTTGGCATAGACAACAATGTGGCCGGGAGGGAAGTCCAAAGCCGTTTGACCTTCGCTTGGTAATCTGAGTTCATAGCCGTCAGGTTGACGGTAGAAGCGTTTACCATGTTGACAATAGTCTTTCTCAGTGGCTGTCTGCAACCATATCGGATCCACAACAGACTCAATATCTCATAACTGTTAGGGATTTCTTGGGGTTCTAGGTATTTCGGATCATCCTGATCTGAATTGTATTCCTCGTCGAGACACTCTTCTTCTGCGATCTGAGCAGCAAGATTGAAGCCGGCCCGAATTTCCTCGTCGGTCTCGTCATCTTCTTCCTCATCATCTTCCCCTTCCCCAAGCATTTTCGATTCCTCTGCATCGTCTTCATTACCGATGCTTTCACCCCAACTTTCTTGTCGTTCCAGGCTATCCTCAACTGACAGGATATTTTCTTCTCTGATATCCGAAGCTTCATGCCCAGGATCAACATCTTCTTCCTCACCAGAGCGTCTACTGCTCTCACCAACCTCACGTTGGTAACTAGTGTGTTTCGTTCTCGGCATCCTGTCAATATTAGTGTCGTATTGATTAAACTAATCCAAGTTTGACCTCAAATGATAACGAACGCTAATAGGCACAACGCCGGCAATCTTTGTGTCCTCTGGGATATCGGGGTTGATAGGACGCAAAGCCTTCTCGGTGTCAGCAAGAAACTTATGACGGTAATAAGCTTCTCTTTCTTCTACAGAAGATAAGGGTGTACAGAGTTCAGCCTCATTGGCTTTACCTGTATTCGCATGCATTCCAGAACCAGACATTTACAAATAATGAAATAAACGCAAAATCTACTTAACCACAAACCAGTGAGAAATCGAAAAGAAAGTTATGGTTTGTTACCTCTTTTGAACTCAACTCTTGAAAGCGTAACTCCGGAATTAAATGTCCTTCGTTTACAAACACCGGTCTAAAAACAACTGAACAAACCTTCGACAAATCGACTCCTGAATCGCAGAAATATGTGTGGACTACAAGCGAAATGAAGTGGAAATTTTTCGAAATTTTTTCGCAAAGAAAGATGAAGGGGTTAAAAGTACGAAATTTGCTATTTATATTGTCCAAATGAAGCGGTTAATGTGACATTTACTGCATGCAATCCAACGGCTGTAATAAAACGCCTTTTCAAAACACCCTACTTTGATGACTGACATGTGCCCCATTACTTTATTACATTTTCCCGCCAATTCTTAGGGAAATATTTCAAACGAGGGTGAAAATGTATTAACTCATATTTTTGGTTTTCGTTTTCAATTGAGCAAAGCCTATCGGCAATTAGCTCACTTGGGGGGCAAATCGTAGATTTTTTCGTTTTCAATTGAGCAGAGCCTATCGGCAATTAGCTCACTTGGGGGGAAAATCGTAGATTTTTTCGTTTTCAATTGAGCAAAGCCTATCGGCAATTAGCTCACTTGGGGGGCAAATCATAGATTTTTTTCATTTTCAATTGAGCAAATATTATCGGCAATTAGCTCACTTGTGGGGCAAATCGTAGATTTTTTCATTTTCTCATTATTCTTTCTTGGTATATTACGCAAAGCAGCACCATGTTCTATCACAAGTGAGCACGTTAGTTTTACTAACATCCTCACTTGGGGGGCTAGTTGTACGGGATATATCGGTAGCATCCTTGATAAGCCGGTAAGTTGTACGGGATATATCGGTAGCATACTTGATAAGCCGGTAAAAGAGTGTTGTGCAGTTTTAGCCCTCTTTAATTTGTAAATAAACCATGTCCTTACCGGCATCACTCTATGCCACATGGAGAGCTGCTTCTCGTCATGTAGCATGTCCCTCTAGCACGTGGAGAGTTGCTTGGGGCCGCGTAGGCACCTGCTGCCTATAAGGTCGGTGTGCCAACTATTTGTATAGGTGGCACCTGCTTGGTTGTGTTTCTATAAATACCCAAGCAAATCCCCATTTCAAAGGTAGAATCTCTCTCTCTCTCTCTAAAACACTTTCTCTCTCTTATTTTACTTTCTTCTCACAAAGGTACTGACTTTAGCATCGGAGTGGTTATTCCCGGATAATCCCCGGGCTAGCTAATCTGTATTGGTTGTGTAGGTGTGCAATTGGACGGTAAACCATTACCAGCCCTCGGACATTGACGGAAGCAGAATTCAGCAGGAACAGTATGTCGATATTATCAATTATGCAAAGCATTTTATTGTTAACATGATGAATTGATGATGACATAGTATAAATATTTGTAGCTAGGCTCGCGTCTTTTCATCATCAATTACTATTTTAATTCTCTAACATGCCGCTTGGGTTATTATTCCCACACATGATAACTGAAATGTAAACTATCAAGTTTAGTAAAATAAACTTGCTAGCTCACAAAAGCATGGGAGTATGGAAGTGCATGAGTACACTTGACGCATGTATCTCACTATTTACAATAGTTTATTCTATCTATGAAAAACAATTGTATTATTATTATTATTATTATTATTATTATTATTATTATTATTATTATTATTATTATTATTATTATTATTATTATTATTATTATTATTATTATTATTTATTATTATTATTATTATTATTATTATTATTATTATTATTATTATATACTAGTTTTGTGCCCGTGCGATGCCCGGGTTGTTTATTGGATTTTAAGATATATTTTTAATTTATATGTCAAATTTTAAAACATATTATTGATACAAAATTAGTTAAGAATTGATGTGTTTTTGTGACGATTTAAACTTGTAGACATGTAATAATGACTAATAATTATAATATTGGTGAAAAATATTTCTTGACCCGTAACCTGAAATAATGACCCTGCCTAAAATGATAGGTAACTCGACCTGATTTACAGGTCTACACACAGTAATAAAATTATATTAGATTGTGAAGTATATTATTTTAATTGATTAGAATATATTATAAACAATGGATGTGTTACATTTTGAACTAACTTAACAAATATTAGCCACCTTAACAGTCCGCTCTGGCCGACTATCGTCCAGAGGAATATCAATGTTTTCACCAGCCGGATGGGGACGAAGGTCGTCTGATTATGCTCCCCGATCAGTGATTGCCATTGATTCTCTTTTTTTACCACCACCTGCTGATTATGCTTTTGGCGGCTGGTGGTGTCGGATGGTCATCCTTGATATCATCAAGGTCTATTGGCTCTTTTCCCTGACCGGTTGCAGCTACCGCAAGCTTGGGGTCCGAGATATAGCATTCTCAAGCCGTCTTTTGGTCCCCGTTCAGGGAGCCAACAATCCCATCATCCTTCTCATACTTGACAAGCATGAGAGCAGGAATCATGACTGCCTTGCACTTGTTAAGAGTGGTTTGGCCAAGGATAAGATTGTAGTCGTTCAGCTCTTCAACCACCAGGAACCGGATGGTCATGTGCCGACCGCTACCTTTTTCCCCCATTCGGATGGGCAAATCAATGCGTCCGACTGGATGTACAACTCCTCCACCAAAACCCACAAGGAGATGGGAGACATCCATCATACTACCCGGCCTGTATTTAAGGTTGGATAGACATTTGCGGCTGATGATGTCTATGGAGCTTCCTGTGTTAATCAAGATGCGACCAACAAATTGGTTGGCTACTTTACATTCTATGACCACAAGGTCGTCATGCGGCCGACGGAATTCGCCCCTTTCCTTTTCAGTGATGATAACTTCTGGGGAGGCAGATTTTCTTGCCGCCTGTCCCCCATCAACATAATGGACCATCTTTCTTAGACGGTCTTTTTTGCCCCTGATGGTCGGACCACCACCGGCGAATCTGCCTGCTTTCGTATAAACCGGTTTGTAATCCGTTTTAGAGCTGATAGCAGGTTGGGAAGTCTTTTTTGTCGACTTCCCAAGATTCGATTTAAAATCCACTTTGGACTTCACATAAGATTTCAGCGCTCCTTTGTCGGCCAGACGATTAAGCATCTGCTTGAGGCTGAAGCAGTCATTTGTATCATGTCCGACATCCTCATGGTAGTGACAGTGCTTGTTCTTGTTCCGCTTTTCAGCGGAACCAGTCATAGGAGTCGGCTTCTCTAGAGTTAGCCGATCCTTAATCTCCATGAGGATGGAGTAGCTGTCCTTATGGAACTTGTACCTTGGAACATACGATATTTCACTTTTTCTTTTTCTTCTAGGCCAGATGATTAGAGTTATCAACCGCCCAGATCTGTTTTTTCTTTTTGCTCTCTTCTAGTTTTAAAGACGGCTGAGAAGGGCGACTCTCCTTCTATCGGTCAGACTTTTGAGTCCGGCTGTTTATTAAGGGAGTAGAGCTCGGTCGCTTATATATAAGCGTCCGCGTCCATCAGGGTTCCTTGGAGGGTGAAGATTTTCTTGCGGACGACTTTGAACTTGAAAGTCAACCCGTCCTTCAGACCTTTGAAAAATTTTGTACAAGCCACTTCGCCAGACAGTCCTTGGATTTGGATTCTCACTAGATTGAACCGCTTGACGTATGGTCGCAGCCCCTCTCTATCTCCCTGTTGCACATGGCCTAGATCAAGGCTCGTTTTCTTTGTAGGGATGTTCATAGAGAAGTTAGAAGCAAACATGAACGCAAGCATCTTGAAGCTGTTTATGCAACCAGCCGGCAGATTGCCAAACCACTGCTAGGCTATGCCCTTCAGTGTGGCTAGGAAGCATCGATACTAGGCGGCATCATCCAACCCTTGTAAGTACATGAGGTGGGTGTATGCCAAGAGGTGGTCTTTTGGGTTTGAGGTACCATCATAGGTTCCAACCATTATATTTTTCACCTTGGCCGGTTGTTCGGCCTCGGCTATTTCCCTAGAGAATTATGTGGGTTGTTTCCCAAGGTTTTGTAGCCGAAGCTGCCAGTCCAAAGGCTGATAGCTGTAAGTCGCCTGTCCTCCAAAGAAGGCAGTCTAGATGTTGGGAAAAGCAGGCGGTCTATATAATGGTTGTGTCATATACAGTGCCGAGTTGATTATATGAGGCCCCGACTGTATGAGGGGGCCGCTTGATAAAGTCCCTTGTACTGAAGGAGAATTCCTCATCGAGGTATTCTGAAAGCTATTGTGATAAGTCGACGTAGATGCCGGCTCTGACACCTGATGATTCCTTAGATGGTCGATCTACTGACGAGCATCAGGAAAGGATTTTTTGCTACCATCTGGCTATACATGCCGGATGGCTTTTCTTGTCACCGTTTATGGGAAACGAAGTCTTGAAAGATCAAACTGGGGCCGAGCCTTCTCCTTTGGAGTAGGATGAGTAGTCCGCTTGTTGATTAGTCCCTTAATTTCACCCTTGAGGCTACTCATGAACTTCATGAGCTCATCACGAGTGACTAGGGCTGATCCTGCCGCCTAGGAGGCATCAGTCGGCTGCCCTGAGGGCTTACTTGAGGGTCCAGGGGGCTTGCTAGGAACCGCCTGGTTAGCATTGCGCTCCCGCCTGTGTTTGTGACGGAGGTGATTAGAGATGAGTGACCCGTTTGGAGCCACATAGGTTTCGACGTCTCCATCGTCACCTGAGTCATGGTTCGTCTGGACCTCTATTTTTTTCAGAGGCCAGGTGGTCTCTGGAGGCGGCACGGGTTGTTCTTGAGAAGAAATCTTAGAGGTACTTTCCCCACAGACGCGCCAAAAGTTTCGGGGTTTTTTGTGTCCCTTGGGAGAGTTACAGCTTTAGACTAGATTCAGCAAGGACGCCTATACCTGCAAAACAAACGGAGCACTGAATGTTCGGTGGTCTTCCTCCGAAGATTAAGTTAGTACGATATTTGGAATAAAGCGTGCGAAAATTAAGTTATCTGCTCGGATTCCAAGCTCAGGTGTTGTTTGTTTCTTGAGAACGACATCTCAATAATGATTGCAAAAAGTAACGTCCCCCAATAAATGAGGGGAATGTCCCTATTTATAGGGTCCTTGGAAAGTGTGCCCTCCCTAGGGATTGGTGACCTAGGGATTAGGGCACGACATTTTTTTCAGGAGCTCCTTGGGATTTTAGCCTTGAAAGCCGCCATCCCTAGGGAGCTATATTTGATTGACACGTGTCACCATCTTGAAGGTCCAAGTTGGCGCCTCTTCTAGTGACACATGTCAGACTCTGATTGGGCCACTTGGTAGGGTATAAAATACCCAAAACAAAGTACTTAGCCTCCACGCCACAGTTACCTAAATACTTTCATTATCGAATCAACTAGGATAGTCCAAGATGTTACAATCCTTGTACTGTGAGAGACAAGGTTAACGGATAAAGCTCATTCAACATGCACCTTAAAAAACTTCACTTCTTTTTTTTTTCGCGTCTTTCTTTTTCTGGAGAAAGTCGGTACCCTCCACAAAAATGACGGAAATTTTTTTTTTCTCCATTTCAAGTCATGTACATATCGAGCTTCATGAGTTAACACAATGCACACACGAGTCATGAGTCACACGTGTTAATTCACCTTGGATCAACCACAAGTCAGTCAGTCACATTGAGTCAACCTTAAGTCATTCAATATGTCTCAGGTCAACCCTAAGAAAAGGCATCAAGCATTATGTCAACCATAAGAAAAGCACCAGCAAAGTATTTTGGCAATCTTTTGATTTTTACAGGATACAAACATTCAGCAAAGCTCCTGTTCGCAACCAATCGAACAATCACAACAAACATTCTAGTATCAAAGCTCTTTTGTTCAGAGATGTGTGGACATATCAAAAAGCTCTTTTGCTCAGAGACGCGTGGGCATATCATTTAAGATCTTTTGTTCAGAGACGCGTGGACATATCATCAAAGCTCTTTTGCTCAGAGACGCGTGGGCATATCATTCAAAACTCTTCATTCGGAGACGCGTGGTCATGTATTTCAAGCTCTTTTGTTTAGAGACGCGTGGACATATAAAAAAGCTCTTATGCTCAAAGATGCGTGGGCATATCATTCAAAGCTCTTTTATTCAGAGACTCGTGGACATATCATCAAAGCTCTTTCGTTTAGAGACGCGTGGACGTATCATCAAAGCTTTAGAGACACGTGGACATATCATCAAAGCTCTTTTGCTCCAAGACACGTGGACATATCATCAAAGCTCTTTTGTGTAGAGACACCATGGACATATCATCAAAGCTCTTTTGTTTAGAGACGCGTGGACATATCATCAAAGCTCTTTTGCTCAGAGACGCGGGGCATATCATTCAAAGCTCTTTGTTCAGAGACGTGTGGACATGTCTTTCAAGCTCTCCTGCTTAGAGATGCATGGGCATCCTATTAAAGCTCTTTTGTTCAGAGACGAGTGAACATCAACAGCGGCAAAGCACAACCACAACATCAAAATGGCAAGATGGCGTTTCGTAGCTTATGGAAGGTTGTCACAACAGCAAATGCAGCGACAGATCGGTTACGTCCAGAGACGTGTGCTTGACGGTGCAAGATACGCATTTCTTAAATCTCTTATTTGTTTTAACTAATGCTAGTTTGCATTTATAGGCGTTACAAGAATGATTTAGGATCGCAGAACGTTCTGAATCATTCTCTATCCCTATCGATACTTTGACTTTTGTTTTCGAAACTAGCGTTTCTCCAAACTCAGTCAAAGTGTGGGCTTCTGTAGACACCCGAATGTGTCTCCCCAAAACCAAAAAAAGTGATGAATACCTTTCATATCATTTGATTATCGAACAAAGTGAAAGTTTGAAAAGTTTAGTGATGAGAATGTGTTTATTAAAATATCTCTTCTTTCTGTTTTTGAAAATATTTCTTTTCTTACCCTATTTATATAAAATGTGCAGTCCAGTTTAGTTTGGTCCATGATATGGGTCCAATAATAGTATATTTGGGTAGGGCTCGAAAAGATCTTTCCAACGATATATTACAAGTCTGATTCCGATAAATAATGAGGAAGTTATGGCAAAAATACTAAACTAGGCTTGGTTTGGTTCTTACATACGGCCCAATGATGTAGAGGAGGGCCTATTATTAATTATCCTTCCTAAAGCTATTAGGATAGATTATAGTCTTCTAGAATACTCTAGAAGGTTCTCTTAAATCCTAATGGAGTTAGGACTGATAATTATGTTTTAAAGAGTTTGAAATTGAATAAAACTACTCCTTTTGAGAATCCGTGTTTTATATGAAATGGAATATATTATGATATTATACTAGTGCCTGATAATCTTTTATTCAAATTTTATATTGATGTATAGATCTTGAAATTTTCTTTCCAATGATATATTATAATATTAATTCCGAGCTATAACGAAAAAGATATGAATGGAATACGAAACTCTATCCAAAACTGACACCGTTCCACTATTTCGACCATATCTTTTTATCTACAAAATATTTTAATGTGATTCTAATTGGGTTATAAAGTAGACTTCAAGAGTTTTCCAACGACATATTATATGACTTATTTAGACTTTTGGATCAAAATATATGATAAAAACAAAATCCATAAAAGTTGTCTTGTAGCGCCAAACGACAGGTTTGTCGCCTGGCGACAAGCTCTGTCGTTGGCGACAAAAGCGTGTTTTATTCCTTTTCGAACTCTGATTCATTTTTTGTCAATTACGGACTATTTTCTTATAAATAGGGTCCCTTGACCTCCATTTTCAATCATTAACTCTTAACCAGAATTCTCTAATTCTTTTCTCCCTCTCTCTCTAAGCTAAAGCTTATTCTCTCTCTCTCTCTCTCTTTCTAGCCTAGCCTTTTACCAAAACAATTCCTCTTACTTTAGCACTAGACACACCTAGAGAATTTCAAAGTTTCCTTTGCCCTAGACGTGAATGGTTTGATAATTTCTGTGAGTTTGGTCCCACATCTCTATTCAATTATTTAATTTAATTGTTTGTTTTATTATTTTCCTTAAAGTTACTAACGTGTCTGTATTTTGTTATTAGAAAGAGGTACGAGACATCCAAGTAAGTGCTTTAATTGTTTAATTTATATTTTGATATAGAAATCATGTTTAGGTTGTTATTTTGATTCCTAGTATAATGTTAGGATGCTTTTCCTAGTATCGTGTTAGGATGCTTTTCTTAGTATCATGTTTAGGGTAATAATTAAGTTTC